ATGTTTTACTGTTTTAATCATGTCAAAATGATTTCAACTAAGACTGTTTTACTGTTAAGCATGCCTGGGTGATTTTTCAGGAGCTTGCCTAAGTGATTTTAAGTTAGGATGTTTTCAGCACTTTAAGGGAAAATGTTTTACTGTTCTGAGCATGCCCATGTTTAACTGCGTGCATGTGAATGGACCAGAATGAAACTTTCACTTATTTTAATTGCTAGAGATGGTTTATTCTAAGGACACACTTTAATATGTGCACCCGAAATCAGGTAATACTGACAATTATTCTATACTTTATCTCCAATGAGAGGTTTGGCCGATTTATTTTTTAGTAGGATACCCTGACATCTTTAACGGTGCACACCCCAGTTCTTCCGCGACCTGGGTCCGTGGTAGTCCGTGGTAAAAAAAGTGAGGAAAGGGTTTTGAGGGTCCAAGTTTGAGGTGACATTTCTCATAAACTGCCATAAAATATTATTAAGCATTAACATGGCTGAAGAGTGTAAGAAATGGTGATTTTGGGGTGAAAATTTCTTTTGGCTCCGAACTTTACTTCCGGGTATTCTTGCGCGCTAAGTGTAATCCGCCCGTTTGACCTAGATTTCGCTCCGCGCCTTCCCCAGAGTCGATTCGCAACCCCTCGCGCCAATGATTATTTAAACAAAATCAGTACTAGAACTTTCTTTATAATTTACTCGTTTATAGTCGAGGCTTAGGTCTTTCTGACAGTATCAGTCATTTCCGCCGGAAAATTTTTTTCTCTGAGATTATCCTACGCGAAAATTGCCAATTTCGTGCATTAATTTTGGAGTGAAAATAATGTTTTTTCTGATGATTTTACCACAATTAAAGAGGTTGAAGAAACCAAACTCAGTTGGCCTTGTAGCTGAAGTTATATACTTTCGTCTCATATACAGTTATTCTCCTTCCGAATCATTCCACGTTAGAGACGGTCGCTAGACTAGAGGGTGTGCAGCTTCGAATAGAAACCCCAAATAAACTGGGGTGTGCCCCCTTAAGCATCTGATTTGTGATGCTTGAGCCTTTGTTCGAAGAATAACCAAGGCATCACTGACTTTTCTACATGTATATGAAGGGTATCCATGGCACATGTTTCACCTTTTTAATCAGTTTCAAGTAAGATGTTATTGAATGACTTAATGATGCATTGGTTACAACCTGGGAATGAGAGGACGACTTAGGACGTTGGGTACAGCCTGGGAAGGAGAGGATGGCTTCATATTTTGCAGTGTCATGGGTTGGTCGGATTGTCTTGTCAATGGGAATGGTTGGCACGGGTACAAGCAGATGCTGGGATAAGACGAGGGGGTGGAATGACTACAAGTGTTAGTCATTCCAGGGCTCGAAATACTGGGTGCATGTGCGCCTTAGTTAGTGCGCCCATATTTGGATCTGTGCACCCAATTTTTTTTCTCTTGGTACACCAGTGTACCCAAATATTTTTATAGGTTTTCATAATGTAAAAATGTTAAATGTACAGTAGTATAAAGCATATTATTAATTTTTAAGAATCAGAAAAATAATAGAATTATTGTAGTAGTACTTTGCTTTAGATATGAATCATGTTTTTGGTAACATTCTACTTATTTTATTTATTCATCCTGCACCCCCCAAAAATATTTTTTTTGCACCCAATATTTTAAGTTGGGTGCGCCTGTTTAGAAAAATGACTTCCGTACATCCTGATTAACTGTGAATCACAACGGCGTGTTTGGACTGACTGCCATCTTAGGTAGGGGTCCCAGATGACTGCCCCATACTCTGGTAAAGCGGACAAGACTAAAGTATGCTGTCTCTCACACTTTCAAGGGACAGTAACATAAGGAAATTGATTGTGTGGTTGGCTCGTTTCGCTGCAGTGTTTTTGAGTACTGACCAATTCAGGTTGTGGCGGATACTTGGCTAATGTTCTGTTTGGTGGACGAACTCGCCACTCATTTCGTACATTCTAGTGAGAGGGTTCTTGTTCTGCATAATGGACATGGTGTTGCACCTCTTTGGCTTGAACTTCATACCATGCTAGCGAGTGTTTGCCATGCACATGGACCTGTCTTGGAGGAACAATTTAATCAATTGGTGGATGGGACCTCTAATGCCATAGCGTGCAAGTTTAAAGAGGAGTCTCGTGTGGCATCGTGCCAAAGGTAAAACTGAAATCCAGGATCCCCACGTCTACCTGCGTCTTCTTGTCGTACGCTGACACAATTTCACAAAATCATTGATGGTGAAAAGCAGCTGGGTTGCACAAGAATGGGCTATGTGGAAACCATGTTGGAAAACTCAGATTGTATTTCTCAAGGTAGCCCAGAATGTGTTTCCATGAGTTTGGATATGTCGAAGTCACAAAACGGGCCTGTAATTCCCAGGTTATGTACTCCACCCTTGCTAAAGACATGGCCTTTGTCCAACTCTTGGGGACGTGCCCATGTTGCTGTGACTGGTTGAAAAGTGTTGCAAGTATGGGGGATAAGTCACTGGCCAGTTCCATCAGGACACGATTCAGGATCCCATCCAGACCAGATGCCCTGTTGGAAACATTTCCACCTTCCTACTGACGACCATGTGTCTGTCTACATCTCCTACATTCGGCCAGTCATGGAATACAGGGCACCTGTATGGTATTCCGGACTCTCTAACTTCCTCAGCGACAAACTTGAGAAAGTACAACGTAGGGCCGTGCGGATTATCCTGGGAGCCAGCTTCACGTCGTACACTACGGCATGCGTGCAACTGGGTCTTCCTACACTCTACGCACGGCGCCAAGACCTGCAGCTGACTGTAAAACTCGCCAAGTCCCTGGGACAGTCTGACCAGTACAGACATTTACTACCACCGTTACAGGGGGAAATGGGTGGAAGGAAAACTAGGTCATCTCACAAACTCAGTAGCATCCACTGCAAAACAGAAAGATATAACTCTAGCGCAATTCCTCACATGGTGCGACTGTTGAACCTGTGATGAAAAGACACCGACCTATTGTAAAACGTTCATCTAGTGGTTCCTAATGTTTGCAAATCCGCTATGTGCGTCTAATTCCGAGATTTTTATATACACATATCCTATAATATATAATGTGTCTTTTAAAATTGTTAATATTGTGTAATTCTTTTATTGTATAACAATGCTTTTGATAGTGTACCCAATATCGCTAATGTTCTTGCATAATACCAACCTTTGTTTATGGACCCCCACGCAATTCAGTCTGTGACTCCCATGTGGGAACCATTGTCTGGTGTTTTTCATGAAGTAAATAAACCATTGTTATTACATCTTTCAAGACTTTTAGCACAACAGCATGATGCACAGTCAGATTTGGGATGAGAGGGTGGGAGAACCATCAAGAGTCCACAGAAGTGAAGACGGACTTGATTTCTTGTAGCAAGATGTAAGCTTTGTCCTTTAGAACAGATCTCCATTGCTTGAGGGGAGGGACACCAATGAAGTCCTGCCTTTATGAACTCCCAGACTGACACCTGGCACACTTGAGGTCTCATGCAGCATTCATAGACTTTTTCACTTTCTTGTACAGTCTGTGCTTCATCCAGGGAAGGATGTGAACTTGGACCAATGATAATAGAAAGGAAAGGTGGATGGGAGAGAACATGGCATGGAATGGAGAGGCCACTTTTTGGATTTTCCAGCCTGGGAAAGAGAGACCAGACAAGAGGGACAACTGAAGTACTCCCCTTAGAACTGAGACAGATATATGACTGACTTGTTTTTTATTTCAGAACAGACGAGTGTATGGTTTTGTAAGACTATGATGAGATGGTTTCTGAGATGACCTTGTTTTCTTAATAACAAAGTACTTCTTACAGAATTTCATTCTTACATGAAAGTGTTACACAGCAAAGCAGAGAGCTGAGTCTGTTGGCAACGCTGACTTTCACTCAAGTTTCAGCACCATTTGGTTAATAAGATATATTTTTTTCTGACTAATAATAACATAGACCTATTTTAAGTAAGTACAGTTCCATATGAAGTACTTGTAAGTGTACTCAAAATTAGACATCTTTTCAAAACCTGCAGTTATGAGCTGTCATGACTTGTGGAAAATGTTAATACGTGTACATGTTTTAGGCGACTGAAATCCTACTGAATTGGAAAATATTATTATGGTAGGTTCGTATTAGCTATGTAAATAAGAATATGCCACGGTGAAATTACTTTCCATTTGCATTATTTCAGATAATAGCTGGCAAGGCCAATTGAAGAACTGAGGGATGTGCAATGAATGCAGTGATCTCCAGTAGTCTGCCTGCCTGGTATCTCGCAAGTGAGAGGTCGTACAGATTTGAGGTCAGTACAGAGCAGTTCTAACAGAGTAGTTACTGCAAAACATTAGCAATGTATATTGGCCACTCATGAAATGATGGTCTAAAGAGTGGTAGGTCACGCCTGGTGCACGGTAATCACCTGCATGAATTTAATAGATAGGTCATCATCAGACTGCTATCTGTAAATTGCTGGATCTCGGTGTTCAACTGTTGCTTGTACCATGGGTCTGCAGTTTTCTGTCAGGCCGCCCCAACGTGTAAGGTACCAGGGCGTGTGTTCGGACTGGCAATCGCTGATGTGTGGCGTGCCCCAAGGCACAAAACAAGGCCCGCTTGTTTTTCTCGCCCTGGTTAATGATGCCCTCCCAATCAAGCGCAGCAAACAAGGTGGCTTTATGACGGAAAACAACCACATGGCTCTAAACCCAGCAAATCACCTGATTCGTCAACGTCACCCGGCTATGTTAATTGATGTTAACCCTTGTCCTGCTGGCATTCCTGGCACAATATTTTTCAATATTTTCATGTCTTAATTAGATTAAAAAGAAAACAAATTTTTTTGCCCTGCAGTGGCATAGTTACTTCCGCATTCGTTGCGTTTCGCTGCGGTGTAATCCGTTGCACGAGAAATACCCCCAAATCGTACCTATACAGGGTGTTATGTAGATGGTACTGTATGTGCCGCGCAACATATGTTGCGCACAGCAGTACCCACCATCGATGCATACTGGGAAGAAAAGCAGGACGAAGTCATCAGGGTTTTGAGGAACAAGGAGGAGGTTATTCTCCTTGGTATGTACACCAGTAGTGTTTTGTTGAATCTTGAATCTTGTTGCTATCCTTCTGTATGTGATTATTTGTCCACCATTGGAGAAAACATGGCATAGTTAGCCCAAAAATTTCAACATTTGTGATTTATTTCTTTTTTCATGTAAACATGTTGTATAAGCTAAGTGCTTCCTAGCAGCAATAATTTCATTGTGCACTGCTATTTTTATATTGTTTTATGCCAGGGGAGGCCTGAGTATGCTGTTAAAGTCTAGAGGGGGATATCTCATAAAGTCTTCATTGTCAGAAACATTAAGACAGAAAATGTAAGTACTTCAAAAAGACCTACAGAAGATTACATAATGCCTATGCATACTTATGCCATTACGTAAAAAAAAAGTCATGTTAAGCTTTGGCAGGAGCACATAATACATTTAGTAGTAATTTCAACACTGCTATGTTCTACCTAATTACGACACTAAATGGTTCTTAACACTAATGAGACTTTTTTTTTATTACACGCTACACAGGTGATGGAAGGATGGATTCACCGGGCTACTGTGCGCAGTACTGCACATATACTGCCATTGACAACCATACGAAGTCCATTGTAGCGGTTGAGGTGGTCGACAAGAGGGAGACGAACCGGAAGTCGACCACCATGGAGAAGGAAGGGTTCAAACGAACCATGGACAGGCTGCTGGGAGAGCGTGTGCCCATCACGGAGGTGTGCACAGACGCACATCCTCAAATCTCTGCACTGATGAGTAAGCTTATAAGTACATTGGAGCCATAGACTGTCTCTTCCGTTGCACAACACATTTCTTCAACTGTGAGATATTCAGAGCTTGTACTGTTGTAGGTTTTCAATTACCTGTTCCATTTTTTTACTAGAATCAATAGATATAGTGTTCTGTCAAAACTAAGGTGCCGAATGTTTCCTTTATTTGTACAAATTGATGACACCTGTACTTCAGTGACCTGTGATAATACTTACATTACAAAAAACAATGATTCATGATGTTGAAAATACAAATGTATTTTATTTCTCGTAAACAGACCAGGACAAGGGTGAATACGGCACCAGAGGTGTTCACCACTCTCTCGATGTCTGGCACGGGGCCAAGAACCTCACCAAGAAGATAGTGGCAGTAAGTACACAGCTTCAACTCAATGCAACGTGATCCCATGTATGTCTTTTAATGTAATGTAGTGGAATGATATCTTACATGAACAAGAATAGCATGCACATAGACTCATTATGAACTACATTGTACGCATAGAGGCCAAGAATTATCATTATTGCATAAGGCCAAGCGTACACGTACCAATGCATCATTATTTGCTGTTGCAAGAAACTTGATTCTTGCAATGACCATGGCCCTTGACAGAAATTGAGGTACATTTGTACTACTAGTACTTGAAATGATCTTACTTTATCCACCCAGGCTGGGCAGGTGAAAGGCTGCACAGAGATAAAGCCATGGACAAAAGACATCGTGAACCACTTCTGGTGGTGCTGTAAAAAGGCCAGGAACTACGAAGAGTTCATCGTAAGTATCACGTCCTATACATTAAAAAAAAACTATGGCCACACGAGCTTAATGACTGCAAATACTGCTAGTATGTAGGTCAGCAAAGTGCTGATGTCTTTTGCAATGAAAAGTTATCCAAGACACACTGATCTAGAGAATACAATGTAGTACCTACTGTATTGTGCTGATACAGTAATTGCAGTTTAAGACATTCTTTTGATCTTTCACCTATATTATTCTTTGTCCTTTGTCCTGTTTAAATTTTAGTAGGTACATGACATTCCTGTTCTATGGTTGACTTGTATGGTTCTCACTTTAAGTATCCATGCGTTGTGTTACTTGTTATTAGGTGCTGTGGAAGGGTGTGCTGCACCACGTGTGTGACGAGCACACATGGGCTACGGGCTCTTGTCACCATGAACATCTCAGCACCACTGAACCGAGGACAAAGAACTGGCTGGCTCCAGGGTCAGCTGCACACAAGAAACTGAGCACTGTAGTGCTAAACAAGAGGTGGCTGAAGACAGCTTCAAAGTACCTACGGTTCAGGTGAGAATACTTGCATATGTTGATACAAGATATCATTTTATGTTTCCCATACTTCACTTGTTCCCAATCTTTTTAAACCCTGCTTAACAGTCTTGCTATTAACTGACAAGTTTTACTAGGGAATTTGTTAAACAAATCATGCTGATGGTTCTAGTAGTAATGTTGCAATACTGCTTTGTTCCAGAACAACTTCGGATCTGGAATCCTTTCAGAACCACATTTTAATGTATGCCTCTAAGAGGCATGCCTACAGTCCTCCCGTCTACAGGGCCCGATGTCAGCTGGCTGCAATTGATTACAACGCTCACAAAGACCGTGCAGTATGGAAGACGAAGGATGGGCATATCAAGTAAGTTAATGTTTTCTGCAGTATATAGTAGATTGGATTCATTCCTTAAGCTAACCAACATTTTATACACGCAGTCGTCCCTCAGTAAGACATCTGGAGTAGCATAGTTCCCGTTTAGAACTTTTATTCAGACTGTCACATATTATGCTGCAATATACTCAATATTCATACAGTGAAGAAAGCAGGGTTAAATTGACTTTCAGCATACTGTTCTAACAGCACTTAAACAAGTGGGGCCAAGTATTTATGGACACTAAGCATGTGCCAGAAATGTTGTAACACTCGCCTCATGTAAAATGTCCTAATTCAAGATATTTCTGTGGAAACATTTGGTACAGCAAGGCATCTATTATGCAATCATAAACTATTGATGTACTTACGTAATTACAGACCATCTTATACTCAACTGGGAATGTTAGAACTTTCATGTTGATAGTGAAGTACATCTACATGTACTGTTTTTTTACAGGTACAAGAGGAGGTTTCAAAAGAAGTCAGAAAGGTGGTCTGTACATGTCCCAAAACAGCCAAAGACCTACAGCTACATCAAGACCCTGCAGGCTTGCATCGTCAACACCAGAATCCAGTCTGGCTCTGGTATGAGTAGGACACAGCCCCTTTCTGAGACTGACCCCAGGAGAGCTGGGAACCTGGCAGGGGTACCACCACCAGCAACATCAGTTCTTGTTGAACAACACAGGTCCAGGATGGACAATGATAACTAGGGCAGTTCAACAGCCCAACTAAATCTACTTCTGACTAATGTATAATGTACTTCTCACTATTGTATGTCAAATGTGGGGGACTGAACAACAACATGATACCTCACCTATCGAAAATGTACACAACCATTGTTCTTGGTGTTTTTAGAAATAGTAGCAATGTTGCATGTAGAGCAGAATTAGGTAGATTTCCTTTAGATATTGATATTTGTATATCTGTAGTTAAGTTCTGGTTACGCATGATCAAAATGGATACAAGCTCACACCCCCTTCAAATGGACGCACTCCTCTCACAGCAAAGCCTCACAACAAATACCTGTAGACGAACTTTATTGCAACGAGTAAAAGACATATTAGATCACAATGGATACTCCTTTTTGTGGCAATCCGATACCTCACATTGTGACCCTGAACATGTCGGGAAACCCTGAGAAGGAGACTTACAGATGTACATATACAAACATTTTTTCATACTATGTCAACTGATAGTGGTAAGTTAAGATATTATTCAAAATGTAAAACCATGTACAGCATAGAGCGATATCTTAATCTTGCAGATTTCGAACTACGCTCAGCCATAAGCAAAATTAGAGTTAGTGCCCATCCTCTGGAATTAGAGAGAGGCCGGTATAGAAGGCTACCTGTATGTGAAAGAATTTGTAAATATTGTAGCGCAAAGGCTGTGGAAGACGAAATACACTTTATCTGAAACTGTTCCTTTCATAACAACGCTCGAAATGAGTTGACTATTCAAACTTCTACAATTTATCTCAATTTTACTAAAGTTGCAGACAAAGACAAAACAACTCTTCTTTTAACTAAACAAAACCCACTAATTGTAGAAAAGGTTGGGCATTACGTCTGGTTAGAGCCTGTTGGCAATGTAACCAGTGTAGTGGTTGTGGGGGTCAGGGTAGGTGTCCCTAATCCTCCAGACACAACAGCTAGGGATCACCACCCTGTTCCCCTCTCCCAGCCTTCCGTACTGCCACAAGACGTAGTGCCTGTAGGCAGCGTGCCTGAATTCTCTGTTGTCGGCCCCAGGCTCTTGGGCATCTTGTAGTGCCAGCATGTCATTCCTGTAGTTCCTGGCAAACCAGAGGGTACCAGGGTCCAAGATGTACAGGTCCATGTCCTGAAAAAGATGAGAAAGATTACAAGACTGTCTACTAGTATATTACATGTACTAGCATATTTATCCTTTCCCAAATTATATGTTCAAACAGTAACAGAAAGGACAAACATGAGTCTTTTATATTGAACACACCGCATGATACCCATCATCTGGGAAAAAAGTCTATTATATGATAATTGATTGTCCATAATGAGTTTTGATACACATTAGTCTATTTGGAGGATTTTATGTTTAAAAATTCCCAAGTGCCATGACCTTTCTTTGGATGATACCCATCAGCCAGAAAAAAAGTCCAGTTTTCTGTTGTGAAATAAAGGATTACCTGTAATGAATTTTGATCAATAGATTTATGTAGATGTTAGATGTCAGCATTACACAGCTTTACTTACATGAAGTGTAGAAACACAGGAGTCTGGCCCCCCACCGCAACAGATCCTCTCCTGATCTGTGGGCATCTCTCGGCAGTGGTGACAGGTGCACCACTCCAACCCATGGCCACCTCCACCTGCAGCACCGCCACCTGGGGCACCACCTGCAGCACCGCCACCTGGAGCACCACCTGCAGCACCGCCACCTGGAGCACCACCTGCAGCAACGCCACCTGGAGCAGCACCGCCACCTGGAGCACCACCTGCAGCACCGCCACCTGGAGCACCACCTGCAGCACCGCCACCTGCAGCAGCACCGCCACCTGGAGCACCACCTGCAGCACCGGCACCTGGAGCACCACCTGCAGCAACGCCACCTGGAGCACCACCTGCAGCACCGCCACCTGCAGCAACGCCACCTGCAGCACCTCTGCCTCCGTCTGTTCCCCCACCTGCAGCACCTCCAACTGCAGCCTCCTCAGCAGCCTCCCTCTGCATGTCAACATCAATGATGTCCAGGACAACAGCTGGCCGCTTATCAACCATCTTGAGGACAAGGGCCCTCAACTCCTCAAGAGTCATGGCATGGACCTTGTCCTGTAGACAACAACAATGGTATACTAGTAAGACAATTGTTTAGATCCGAAAGTAATGACAGAAAGGCCCCGTGGCCAACAACAAATGATATAAAACAATTGATGATCGAACTAATGACAGAAACAAACAATGTCCAAGCAACGACATTTCAGAATGAATTCTAGTATGTATACAGACTATGTTCAATGTTTTTAAACCTGTTTGAGGATGACCTGAAATGAACTGAATTACCTGCAATCTCGTCCTCCTCCTTTCTCTCAGCTGCTGTATGGTGGCAACTTGCTGATTGGTGGATAAGGCAGGCGTGTGTCTCCGCCTGCCTCTCCTACCCGGGGCCGCGTTTCTTCTTCCCCTTCTTGGAGGTGCGATCTCCTCTCCAGGGGCGGGCGTGCCAGGCTCCTCCTCCGGTTCCATGGCCATGACGTCGTCAATCTCCAATGACATGTCGCCAAAATCGTCAGAGAGGGCAGAAGTGTCCATGTCGGTGGGGGAAGTAGGAGGCATTTCCCGAACAGGGGATGGTACCTGAAGGCCAGCCCTCTCAACATTGTGCCGTGCAAACGCCCTGCCGCGCACTCGATCTCCCTGGATCGATAAAAGAGAAGCTATGTGAGGACACAGAACCAACCAAATATATAATGTCTTCGGAAGAACTCTTGTCTTTTTCACGTCAGCGGCAAATTTTCTCTTGTTCTTTTTGATGGTAAACATGCAATTAATAATAATAGAAAGCACCTTACTGGGAAAAAATTAGCACCTTACTGGGAAAAGTAATTGGGATCCCGGGAGCATTGGAATGCGAATTGCTTGTGCCAAATCAAGATAATGTCTTCGGAATTCTCATGTCTTTTTCACGTCAGCGGCAAATTTTCTTTTGTACTTTTTGATGGTAAACATGCAATTAGCACCTTACTGGGAAAAGTAACGGGGAGTATTGGAATGCGAATTGCTTGTGCCAAATCAAGATAACAAAAGAAAAAGAAAGAAAAATACAACAACTTTCGTATGGTGAGCTTCAAAAGTAGAAACATCAGATCTACGTAAGTTTCACAAAACAATAGTAACTTTGCAGCACACCATCAGCAGGAAAAATACTACTAAATAAAACCATGACTTGCCGACAGAGATAAAAATGCATCCACTGAGCTTTCCATCTGTGCACAAAATTATCTATTCGAAATTAACTATGAGTGGTTCACAGATCTTTTTTTATAAACTTTATTTGAATGATTAGTTTTCTTTCGATATCACTGGTCTAATTATCTTATTTTCTGACCACAACCTCTGCCGGTCGGCTGATCCAGAAAGTTGAGAAACGTCAAAACAACATAATGTATACGTACGTCGTGATTGTCCTCCTCCGCTAAAACTCTGAAAAGCTCCCGGGCACTCTGAGCAGACGCTCGTCGAGGACGATCCATGTCGGCAAAAACAGCAAAACGCAACGTAAAATGGAATAGAAATGATACCGCCCGCACGTGAGACACTACCAGTAAACGTAAACAAGCGAAATTGCGAAATCGCCGGCGAGCGCGTTCTATTGACCCCTGGAAAGGTCGCGGTAAACCACGTGACTCGTCCTCGGCTCTGGTCGGAAGAAGTCGGAAGTGTCCGGGAGCGGTCGGAATTTTCAAAAATGGCTGACACCACTGGCGGCGGCGGGAGGCACGTAGTTTTTCATGGCGTTTGTACGGCAAAGCGACATCGAATTTTTGCTCCATGACTATCGGTATGGGATAGGATAGGGTTGATTCAACATACTACGTGAAAATGTGACAAAAAGACAGACTTTTTTAATATAATGCTACCAGCGTACTATCGGCCAGATATCGCTTAGGGCACCTTTAATATGTCTGGAATGTTATATTGTTTTAATCTATGCGATAAGATTTTGTATAATTTGTTAATGAGTCTTACATGAATGAATTGTTAAAGAACCACAATTCAGCCTGCCAGTGTTTTTTATCATCAATAAACCACACACCAAACCATCATCAAGTAGGTGTAGGTGAGAACTTACAAATATATACATGCCATTCTGTTTCCATATAGGTTGAAACTGCTGGAGAACAGGCAGGGGTCTTCAACAGAATACAGTGACAAGTCAATCTTCGTCTCCAGAACACAGTCTTGGTAGACATGCTTAAAAACCTAGAAAGGAACATTTGCAAAGCAAATATATAATACCGGTACTTACATGTAGCTTAACAAATTACTGGTTTGTTTACACTTACTGGAAGTGTAAAGCAAAGTGCTTGTGTAAATGTCTGTTTAGTGGGCAAGGGTAGAAATTACTAGAATACATACATGTATAGGGATTCATTTTCAGTTTTTTTAAAGTTTAGATCTACCCAAAGTGATTCAAAATGTACAGTCAATCATTGAATGTAACACAGATTTGTCCAGTACAGTTTTTTGTTTGTACTCAAACCCAAATGTTAGGTCTAGTTCTGATTCTGTCTAGTGTACCAATACGCATATAGGTATGGATGGCTAATTCTCATTGAAATGTACAGAATTCAGGTATGACCTCACAAAGTCATACTTGTTTTTCTCAAGATGAAAATATCCTTCAGGAGCACAGACAACGTGCAATGTTCTTATACCAGGTGTGAAGTTTACTACTAATATTGAAAGTAACAACAGTTTTGGAGGTTAAAGTCAGTACTGTACGACATTTTTTTGTTCAGTAACAATGGCTACAAATGACAGGAAACACTTTCTTATTCCATCAGAAATCAAGGAAACTTGCAAAATGTCATCAAAACAGCAATTTTGGTCTAATATGAGTATTACTTGGTTACAGAAATGTGCGGTAACAAAGGTTACATATCCCTCCAAACAAAAGGCAGTAATTTCTTCCATGTCGTAAACCAAACCTTGTGTTCCTGTACATTTGTTGTGAAACATAGTAAGGCCACAGCAAGTAAATTTTATGGATGACATCCGCGCGCGCATTAATTTTCGCCTGATTTTGGAAAAAAAAAACGAAATTTTGTTGCCTTCTGACAGTGGTCAACATGCCAAAAATGGGCAAAGGTGTCTGTTGCCATGCCGGAAGGTGAATGGCAGATAACTAGGAAGAGAGGAGACAAGAAAATGCTCTGATTTAATGTTTTGTTTCTTACTTTGATGCAGTGATATGTGATGCTGGCTGTGTATATGTGATGTTCCTACTGAATCAAAACCATTTGTACAATGATTGAGTCAAAATTTTACATTGTAGGAACCTTGTTTTTTTCGGCCCGCCTTGTTTTTTTTTCGCCCGCTAGCATTAGATTTGGAGTCTGCGGAGGATGTCATCCATAAAATTTACTTGCTGTGGCCTAAGTGAAAAAAGCAACGATGAGGTCCATGGTCTACCAGTAGTGCATATCTAGTCATAAAGAGTGGTGACAGCATATTGCACATTTGAATGAGAACGAGCCAGATATCACCCCATCGGGATCACTCAGTCATGCCTATAAACACTAAAAAAATCAGACTAACAGCTTTCCACAAATCCTTCAAACTACTAGGCAGTACAGGGATTTAGTTCTAAATGGAATACAGGAATGTGCTGATAAAAACATTAGGGAAACTGTATGTATGTAACATCCTGTCTCCGATATTTTGAACAAATGTACCTTTTAAAGTTGCCTGTACTGGTAGGCAGTGATATATACATGTATGTATGTATATGCTGTATATATCAGTTTGTTTCAGGAAGTAAAATGATAAGTCAAACTTGTATTTAAACTTAAATCGAATATCTTACTAGAACAGCCTAATATGTCATATGACTTGGAGTTGTTGTGTTTGAGTATGTCCTTGTTAACTACCGGTATCGTAAATTGTTAATTAAGATTAAATGCCACCATAAGAGGCGAGCTAGGAGTATTTCCTAGTACATTGATTAACAAACACAACTTGTTACATACTGTACATACATTACATACTGGTCAAATGGCAGTGGTACAAGAAGCAGACTGGCTTGTTTATGTTAAAGATATTTTGTATTTGCGGAGAGGCTGTATGACTCAGGAGCTATAATAGGTTTAGTAACCATTCTAATTTTGTGTAGGCAAGGTTTCCGGGATAACACTTTGGTAACATATTCAAACAATGCTTGAAGGACACATTCCTCTAAGGTTGGTAACTAAAAATAAGGAAATGTAAAACAAGGAGTCGTAATAAACTATAAGCTAATTCCTAACTTTCCAAGTAAAAACTGACGTCACATTGGAAAATAGCCTTTCATCAATCAGTAAAAAAAGCCTTTAATGTTACATATACATATATACAGAGACAATATTCCTCATGTATAGATGGATACACATAGATAGGACAAGTCATTAGAAAATGATACTCATCATGTGCTGTTTATGTTCACATCCCTATAGTAGTAGTAGTTTCTTAGTTTTATACATTGTACCATGTACAACCGTCCCGCAATAAAGTGCATTCATGACGACAATGATTCTGTCTTTCACAATATCTTAGCCTGACTGAAATCCCAAAAATCAGTGAGAAGCCACGTATGTGAAGAGTGTAAAAGTGAGAGAGTGTACGTAACTTGGTTTGTGTTTGTTGGTATTTTGGGCAACAACAGTAAAAAGCATAAAAAATAAAGGCGCTCCCAGCCAGGGAAGGTAGGGGGCGCAATTGAGTGGATACATACACGTTTACAACTACTGAGTGCTGGAGGCGTGGCATACCAGTGGAGGCGTGGCTTATTTTTATAATTAGACAACGTCAGGTAATAATTAGGTCTCCATCCGACGTCGAAAATCGTCGATGCACACAACGAAAACGTCGAAACCGCAAACGTCGAAACACATCGAAAACGTCGAACATCGAAAGGGATTTTTCGACGTCGAAAACATCGGAGGGCCCGTCGAAATTTTTCGACGTCAAAAACATCGAAAAGAAGGTTCGATAAATTACATTTTTTTCGGAACGAAAAATGGTAAGGTTAGGCCGTTAAGTTCAATAACTCCGAGAATCGAGCTGAACCACGAAAATCGAGCTGAACCACGAGAATCGAGCTGAACCACGAGAATCGAGTTGAACCACGAGAATCGAGCTGAACCAAGAGAATCGAGCTGAACCACGAGAATCGAGTTGAACAAAGAGAATCGAGTTTGAATGAGAGATGAGAGATGAACGAAAGAAATGAGTTGAACGACGAGAAATGAGTTGTACGTCTTCACCCCAAATAAAGATTACCAAGCCCAGCAGGCTCTATCATTCTTGCCTTTGTCGGAAAGAGAGAGTGCATGTACATTGTGTACAGCATAACCTTGTCACAAGTAGCATAGTATAAAATGTTGGTAGTATACTTAGTCTGGTAATGTATGTCTCAGTTAGTCTATTACAAGGTTATTAGCTGTCGTAGGGAGTCTGTGATTCCCCCTCCACTCACGCTCAACGGAGAGACTATAGAGAGAGTTCCTGCATTCAAACTTCTATGGGTGATCATCAGTAACGACCTGTCGTGGGGTGCACACGTTGAATACATGTTGTCCAAGGTCCGACCTCGCCTTCACTACTTGCGACTGTCCAAACGAGCGGGGCTTCCAGTAGACGTCCTGTTACAAATTTACAAGACATTTGTTAGACCAGTGCTGGAATACGGATCACCAGTGTGGGGAGGGTTACCTCGCGGGTTGGCTGACGAGCTCGAGAAAGTACAGAAAATCTGCTGCAGAATCATTGGAATCCCTTCCGGTCAACTGCCGACCCTGGAGGAGCGGAGACGTGAGGCATCCGTACGAGAACTCAGGAGGGTGATGGCGGATGACACTCACCCTTGCCAGCAGTTCCTTGAGCCGGGTAGACGGACAACCTACCAACTACGCCGTCAGACTTCCAGCTACAAGATCCCACTTAACCGTACAGTGAGACATAGACAATCATTTATCCCCAGATCACTCAACATCTTGCAGCAGTGAGGGACACTATAGACTTTTAAAAAATCTGAAGGACACTATAGACTTTTATAGAAAAATTGTATTGCCTCCTTGTACTTGTGTCCTAAAGTTGTTCCACTCAATTATTGTCTATATTTTAATGTGTTATCGATATTTTATACGTCATTATCGGATATACTTCTTTT